AAAGAGAAAATATTCTTTCTAAAGCTACTTTCTGTAATTTTTTTCTCATGTAACACAATAAACAACAAATTCAAAAAGAAACAAAACAACAATAACTTCAATAAATAAATAATAAACCTAACCTATAGTTTAAAAAAATAATATATGGTGTTGATGCATGATACTGCTATTCATTTTGTCATGCATGTACATCTTGCTTAAAAGAGATTTATGAAGTGCCAAAGGGCCTAGGAGCTTAGTGGTCAGTTTGCAGGAGGGCCTAGGTACCCGATAGTGGCAAGCTTGTGCTGTTCGTGCCGAGTGGCCTAGATGCCCCATTGGTCAGCTTATGCAATGTGGTGAGGGGCATGGAGGACTCAGGCTATATTCACAGAGATGCCAAGGGGCTCTAATGGTCAGCTGGCATTGCCTATTGTGGCCAGTTGCATTTAAACCTCCTGTCCTGTGTGCTTTTTTGTTGGTGTGTATGTTTGGATGCTCACTTGACATCATAGCGGTGCATGAACATAATGTGATCTCTGTATGTACGATTCACATCCAGATCAATCTGACGAATATCTGGAGACAACCCCCTGGCTCTGATCTTCAGTTTCTGGGGAAAGACAAAAACAGTTCATGGAGTTCATAATGAATATAACTAACTATATAACAACACTCTGCAGGCCACAAATGAATCTAGCTCACAGACCACAGCATGATTCCTGCCACACAAAAACCTCCAGTTAAAAGGGAATGCAGACTGCAAATCATGTTTTCAGTCCAGTTGGATGCTGCAGGGCTTTAGTAAAGCTGCTATTGTCCATTTGGAGTGATATTTCCCTCTGCGGTGTGTGTGTCAAACCACATAAGTGTTACATTGCAAACCTCAGGGGTCGGCTATTTTAGAAAGTCATATTTAAGCAAAGAGTTTGTGTTTGCCTCTCTCTCTCACACATACATGCATACACGTTTCTGTGGAATAAACTAGCTCTTGAGAAAGCCATGCCTATGCTGGAATGGAGAAACTGCGTTTACCTCATAGAAGTCCTTTTTCTCCTCCTTGATTTTGGGGATGTCGAGCAGCAAACACCAAACCTGACCTCTGAGCTGCAGTGGAATTCCCTTATAGATCCTCCTTACCAGCTACACAAACACACACAAAACACGATTAGAATTCAAGAAAACTCTAAACCTCAACCATGTGAGTGAACA